GGTCCTGCTAAAACACAGATTGCTGGGCTCCAACTCTGCTTTCCTGGTTCTGCAGGCCTGGGGTGGGGGCCAGGGAGTCTGCATTTCTGACTTGTTCCCAGGCGGTGCTGAGACCAGCATGTTGAGAACCACCACAAGCCCACGAACCGATGGTTAGAATACATGTTCCTCCCCCAGAAGCCTGGGCCGATTGCATCCCCCAGGAAGCCAACCTGATCCATGGTACCAGGGCTCCTGATTTTTCCAGGTTCTGTTTCAGCATATGAGGTCGTGTCTAACCTGAAAAAAGTGGTTTTTATATAGTGGGCATTTGACTGAATTCATTCACTCATTCACTTCCAAACCACTTTGTAGTGATAGATACGGAATCATCTTTTTACAGGTTATTCCCCCTTCAGAGCAAGAAACAGGGCCACCCGACACACTGTCGGAAGCTGACCCTGATTACAGAGTCTGTGAACATCATCCCCATCTGCTGAGCTTCTTGTGTGTAACCAGGTGCTCACACGATCGTCCTTCAGGGTCCTGGTAGAAAAGAGGCTCCGCAGTCCCACCGGGGATTTCAGGAGAGTTCAATCAAGTGTGGCCAGAGCCTGAGGAAACCACACAGGATGGTGTAGAGCCCTGGCACTAGAAAGAGTGGGACCCCAGGGCGGGAACCCACAGAGTGAAGCTGCTTGGAGAAGGCTGCCCCATGGGAGCTGTGGGCTTCAGTGTGAGAAGTGGCAAATCCACAGCAACCTGGTGAGAGGAAGCTGCAGAAGTAACACCTTAATCTCCCTCTCCTCTCACCCCTGGCTTCCACTGATGCCTCATGGACACAACTCACAGGGAGTTAGGCAGCTCCTCTTGACTGCAGTTGATTCATTGCTACTTAGGAGTATGTGCCCTAAATTTTCCAATCTAGTGTCTCTTATAAAGCCAGGATCTGAAATGTAAAATTTTATTTTTGACCATCTATACTAATAAAAGGATAATATGCTAATTAGACCGGATATCTTCTGGATGTCCTTCTAGACAAAGCCATGGTGGCAGGGCCAAGGCAGAGGTGGTTAGGGGTGATAAGGCCGGCAAGGGAAAGCAGTTAGGGCAATCAGGCCAGCAGGGGAGAGCAGTTAGGCAATTAGGGCAATCAGGCTGGCAGGGGAGAGGAGCTAAGGGTGATCAGGCAGGCAGGCAGGTGAGCAGTTAGGAGCCAGTGGTCCCGGATTGTCAGAGGGATGTCCAACTGCTGGTTTAGGCCCAACCCCTGTGTAATCAGACCTAAACTGGCAGTCGAACATCCCCTGAGGGGTCCCAGATTGAAGAGGGTGCAGGCCTGGCTGAGGCCATGGCAACATTCCCATGCACGAATTTTGTGCATCGGGCCTCTAGTTAAAAAATAATGTACTCGCCGAAACCGGTTTGGCTCAGTGGATAGAGCGTCGGCCTGCAGACTGAAAGGTCCCAGGTTTGATTCCGGTCAAGGGCATGTACCTGGGTTGCGGGCACATCCCCAGTGAGGGGCATGCAGGAGGCAGCTGATCGATGTTTCTCTCTCATCGATGTTTCTAACTCTCTATCTCTCTCCCTTCCTCTCTGTAAAAAATCAATAAAATATATATAAAAAAATAATGTACTAAATAAAACATGTTTAAAATAAAAATAGCAAAATTCAAAACACTGAAAAAAACACACACTAGATGAAATGAATCTAATATTGTCTGTCCCCTTAGGTCCAAGTCAGATAATCTAAGAATAGAAATCCATTATTCTAAATATAAAGAGACTCTTTGTGTGAACTATCTCTAGTCTTAAAATGTAAAATTATCTTCCAGGATTGAGGCTGAGGGGGGTGTGGGGCTAAATATGAAGAACACCATTCTTGGAAGCTAACTTCACTCGGGGATATTTGCTCTGATACAGTCTTTGACCTTTCGCCCCCTTTATGAAGAGCAGAGGTACCACTTACATATTTGCTCTTGATATATGTTTCAAATTCAGACTGGAAAGCAGATGCCCCTTGCCTCCCATTTGCTTATGTCTGTTAGGCAAAAATAGTTCTCTTTTCCATTGCCAGTTGCACACACCATCTATTAATGATTTCTCATAGTGTTCCGTAGCAGAGAGAAAGCAGACACCTACATGATCATTACGTGTCAGGGCTCTGCAGTGCCCTTAATTTCCTCGCACCTGCTGCCACCTGCTCTCTCCCTTCTTTCGAAGGTTTGTATTTTCTGTTATGCTGCCTGTGTAACCTTTAGCTTCACCTTGCAAGTTGCCTGGGGAGGTTGCTGCTGAGGAAGGAAAGCAGATGGATACAGCTTGTCATGACCCCATTTTCACCCAACCCCCACTTTTGCAGAGCCTTGGAGAAGACTGGGGCCCTGATGAAATCAGAAACATCAGTGCTGGTATTGGCTCAGCCACTAGCCCACTGGGACAGGAGGCTTTCTTGGGGCAGAGTCCCTTATTTATGAAATATGGGCGTCTGACCCAATTTTAGGTTGCCCTTTTAAGTTCTGAGGAAAGCAAATTCCTCACCAGATGAAATCTTATGTATGATGTCCTCAAAGCCAGTTGCTCTCTTCTCAAAGACTAGACAGATAGTGGGAATTCAGGACTTCTTGTCAGTAAACTCTCTCCCTTTCCTACTGTGTCTGACTGGGCATGCTGTCTTATCTCATTCTCTGCAGAGGGGACCCAGCCCCAGCTTCTTGCTTAGCCTCTATGAGCAAAGCCTCTCCTTGGAGTAAGTATTCAGTCCTGCGGAGGTGTTGGTGTTCCTAGAAATACCAAGTATTAAACACTGACATGATTACCTCATTGGATGTCACTTGAAGAGGTAGGAATTATTGTTTTCATTTTGAAAATGTGAACACAGAGGCTGAGATAGTTTAAAGGCATAAATTTGAACTCCTCTGAAAGATAGAGCTGAAATTTGAACTCCTCTGAAAGATAGAGCTGAAATTTGAACTCCTCTAAAGGTATTATCTGCCGCTTTAGGGTGATAGAAAAGGCATTTTAAAAGCTGCTCTCTTAGTCACTTCTCTCTTTTTCCTAGATTCTGTCCACACCAAAAAAGTCTCACCACTGGATTAGTTCTTATTTGGGGATCAGATTTATAGCATTTGTTCTTTTTAAAAAATATATTTTTATTGACTCAGAGAGGAAGGAAGAGGGAGAAAGAGATAGAAGCACCACTGATGACAGAGAATCATTAATTGGCTTCCTCCTGCACACTCCACACTGGGGATGGGGTTCGTAACCCGGGCATGTGCTCTAACCGGAAATCCGGGAACCGAATTGTGATGTCCTGGGTCATAGGTTGATGCTCAACCAAGGAGCCATGCCGGTGGGCAGGTCTTGTTCTTTTGTATTCTTACGGGAAAAAAGGATGGGAATGAAAGGTATTACCACACAGAACTGAGTTTATAAGAGTGGAATTTTGGACAACAGCCCAAGATATATATTGAAGGTAATTTGGGCAAGGGTGTTTTCCTGGAATCATTCATCCTGTTGCCTACTTTCTATGTGGTCACTCATGCAAGATCACTTGGATTAAAGAAGGAATCTCATTTGGTCAGTAGAAAAGCTGAAATCAGAAGGCCAAACTTCTTTGCAGCAGAGATTTTGTCGAAGAGTTAGTCTTTTTTTCACAAGAGTTGTCATCAGTACAGTGTGATGGTTAAGAGTGAGTCACACTCGAACCCTGCCTCTCTACTTCCCAACCGCCCTTGACAACTGGTCTCTGCCTCAGTTGTCTCAGGTGGAGGGGCACCACTTACATGCTAGAGCGTGGTTATGAGCGTTCACTGGAATAATGTGTTTCCAGCACTTCGGGCAGCGTCTGACAAATGGTAAACGTGTTGTGTGTGTGTTTATATGTATTACATTTACATATGTATGTAAACATGTAATCAAACATCGATTTGGAACCACATTGGGAATGCTGCACAAGAACAATATGTGTTTTTTTTGTGTGTGTGTGTGTGTTTAATGCATGTGAAAAATGTTACAAAGCAAGGCATCTGGGGACACTTCTGTTTATACTTCTATTTACATCTGTGGTTCAATAGGATTTTGGTTGTTTCTTTTTGCCTTTTACTGACATGTTGTAATGCTGTGATATGGTGAAAGCATCTCTATTCAGAGCTCCCACAGCCTGGTGCGTTTATGCAGATTGGCTAGAAGGGCTGCACCTCAAAAGAGGGACCCAAGGAGGTATGCAGTGATTGTTCTATCCTCCTTCCCCATTCATTTCCTCTGCAAGGTCCCTTACTTGTCTTGATGGAGCCTAAGTTGGACTGAATGGAATTCCTTAATTGGGACTAATTGGATACGGGGTGTTGTTCTGACCTAGAAAACACATTGTTGATGATTCTGATATTTGTCACCAAAAGACATCCAGGAAGAGATTGCAAATCTCTGAGGACTCACAAATGCATTTTTTTTTGTTTGTGACTCGGTAGTAAAAAAAAAAAAAAAAAAAGGAGAAAGGAATCAAATTCATTAGCCAAGAAATCACCTTTAGGTCTTGATAACCCTCTGAGCTTAAATTTCCACATCCGAAAAGGGGGGTGGTAACACCTATTTTAGAGGATTGTAAAGGATAAATCAAATAACACGAATAAAGAACTTAGCATAAGGCCTGGCACATAGGCTTCAATCAATACATGTTGGAGGAACAGCTCCAGAATGAATGACTGTACCAGGCTAATTTCACCATTTGAGGATAGCACATGAAAATGAACCTCAATAACACTGACTTTAGGACAAGACCTCTGACTGACCTTTTGTTCTCTTCAGAAATAAGGCAATGTTGCTTTGTTTGTCCTTCTCAATACTTAGGAGATTGCTGTATTTTTTTTTTTAACAAGAATCCAGAGGTTCATGACCCCATACACTGCAATGATGTTGCAAGTAGTGAGGATCCCCAGGCCAGGCCATAACAGCTCATTTAAGATAATAGTTGAATTGACACAGAGCTAATGGGTTGTTCTACTCCACACCTCCTACAGATACCACTCTCAAGGCTCAGAAGTATATTCTGTGTCTTTCCTGCTCAGAGATTTATGTTTCTCCTTCACTTTCAGGATGAGCCCGACGCTGTCTGGCGTAAGAATCTAAACTCCACCTCATGTCCTGCCACTCGATCCACTAAGACCACTGTACTTCCTGCCTTCAGCCATCTCAGACTGGATTTTTCATCATTAGCAGGAATAACTTGCAGAAGTGTTAAGAGGTTCAGTCCTAGAGATGATTCAACTGCCTTCTTTTTCCTTCTTGGATCAGGCCCTGCTCTTCGCAGTCATAGTTCCATAGATCTCACAGTGGTATCTTAGCGTGTCTTTCCTGGAACTGCAAGAAATGGACGTGAGAAAGATGCAAGAGATTTAGCCTTCACAACACCTAGGTCATCGCATTAAAACGCGGATGTGCAGAGCATCCATTCTTTCTTCTGCATTTATCTCTGCATACATCTATCAGTTCTGTCCCTGACACTAAATGGTAAAGTCCTGAGAAACAGAGATTTTTCTATCTCCCAGTGCATGTGGTATGGATTGTGGCCAAGGGGTGGGGGAGGTGTTCAATAGGTATATTTTTTATACGTCAGATACTTGTATGTTCTTTTAATTTATCTTGTCCTATATAAATTGAAGGGTTCAGGAAAGAAGAACAATAGTGTAATGTGGACATATGGTCTTCCTATGTAATAAAATCCAGAAGAGATCCAAATACAATTCCAATGGAAAAACAATAGGGAGGTTTTTTTCCTCAAAAAACTAAACAGAACTATTATATGACCCAGAAGCTCCACTTGTTAGAAATTTATCCGAAGAAATCCAAAACCCTGATTTAAAAGAATATATGCAACCTTATGTTCATTGGAATATTATTTACAACAGCCAAAATATGGAAGCGATCTAAGTATCCATTGACAGATGAATGGATAAAGGAATTGTAGTACCTATATACACTATGATATTACTCAGCCATAAAATAATGAAATTTTACCATTTGTGACAAAATAGAAGGTGTTATGCAAAGGAAAATAAGTTAGACCAAGAAAGACAAATACCATAAGATCTCACTTCTATGAGGAATATAAAAACAACATGAACAAATAAAATAGAAACAAGCTCATAGATACAAAGAACAAATTGATGGTTACTAGGAAGGAGGGGTGGGGGATTTGAGAAAAAGGTGAAGGGTTAAAGAAGTACCAATTGGCAGTTACAAAGTAATCATGGGGATACAAAGATAGCATAGAGAATAGAGTCAATAATCTATATATATAAAAGGCTAAGCAACCGGCTGACCAGTTGACCTGCTGGTAGGTATGATGCACACTGACCACCACGGGGCAGACGCTCAACGCAGGAGCTCAACACAGGAGCCAAGCGACAGCAACTTTGCAGAGTGCCCTCTCACACTCTGGGACCGCTTGGGGAATGTTGGTTTAGGCCTGATTCCCCCAGACCAGACAGAGGGACCCCACCTGCTGGAGGGACCCCCGCTCACTCTGCAGACACCCTTCGAGCCTCAGTGCCACCCCAGGTGTGGCTGGTTGGGGAGGAACTGTGGGAGGTTGGCTCCAGGGTGTGTCCAGCCTGTCTCTCCCAGTCTCACCCTACCATCCACCTTTCTAATTAATTTCCTTTTAATGTGCATGAATCCGTGCACTGGGCCTTTAGTATTGTAATAACTATGTGTGGTGTCAGGTGGGTACTAGATTTATGAGGAAATCACTTCATAAGTTATAAAAATGTGTAGTCACTATGCTCTTCACTTGAGATTAATATAATACTCAATAATTTTCACTGAGATTGAAAATAAATTTACAAAAGTAAAGAGAACCAGGTAAATTTAATTTTAGCAATATACTTCATTTAGCCCAATATATTGAAAATATTATCATTTCAAAATGTGTTTAACATATAAAAATTATTGAGGTAGTTTACATTCTCTTTTTATGCTAAATCCTTGAAATACCGTTTTTTATACTTAGAATGTGTCTTAAATCAGACTAGCCACATTTTAAGTCCTCGATAGCCATCTATGGCCAGTGGCTACCACACTGGGGAGTGCAGGTTGACTATTGTCAATGCTGAGTACCACTATATATATATATACTAATTTAAGAGTAGTAAAAAAATGTTTCCTGTCTTTGTGTGCAGAGTGGCAAATATTGCTCTAATCTGTGAGTCCTCCACAACCACCAAGTCCACTCCTAATATTTGTGGGGTTTGAAGCAAGATATGAAGACTTATGCATCATAGATCTAAATATATAAAGGCTATAAATCATATTAATAAACCAGAAAATGAAACACAACCTAGTCCCTGATCTTGATTAATGTATCCTCTTAAGAACCTGGAAGTGCAGGTTCAAGAACTCCTGGGCTTCTCAGAGAACCACGCAGAAGATCGCATGTCAGGTAAGGCTGGCCTCAGCTGCAGCCTCCAGCCCCACACTTCACCCCCTTCTCTTACCACCTCCCAGCTCCCTCCCACACCATGTGGGCCTTACACACTCACACATGGGCATACGTGTCTACATATACAGTATAGCTCTGGTTATATCACCACAGACAGTGCTCTGGGCCATCTTTCAGGCTTAGGAGTGTGCATAACTGTGACACCATCCATCTCCATGAGGAAGGATTCAGGAAGGGGGCCAGCTCAGTCCCTGCTAATGGGCTCAGAGCTATTTGGACAGGGAATTTCGAGGTGGAAGGATGTACAGGTTTCAGGTAGGCACATTTAGGCCCTCTGTACTTTGAGGCCTGTGAGGAAGGGCACAGGCAAGAGAAGACCAGGGCAGAACCCTTTATAATACAGGTCCAGGGCCAGAACCTAAAGGGGCTACAAGAACCATAGATTGGAACATAAATTGGTACAAGAAGCAGGAAAATGGCACTCCTGGGAACCGATGTTTTGTTATGCTTCTAAGAGGAAGAACCATGGCAAGTATATTGGCGTGCGAGAATTGCCATCATAAAGTACCACAGGCTGGGTGGCTTAAACAACAGAAATTTATTTTCTCATAGTTCTGGGGGACAGAAGTCCAAGATTACAGTATTGACACTGTTAGTTCCTTCTAAGGCCCCTCTCGTTGGCTTTTAGATGGCTGTGTTCTTCCTGTGTCTTTACATGATCGTGTGTGTATGTATGTATGTGTGTGTGTGTGTGTGTGTATCCAAATTTCCTCTTCTTATAAGGACAACAGTTGTATTGGATTGGGGCCCACCCATAACCCCATTTTTTTTAAGACACTCATTCATAATTTATTAGATAAAAGTCAGTTGCATTTTAAGATGCATTCATTTAAATTATAGCATTAGTTGTAAATTGGGATCTTTTTCTGAATAAATTGTCATTACTTTTTTAAACAAAATATATTACTTTACACTCTAACAAAAGACAAAATTCAAAGACTTACAGATATACTCCATCCTAAACTCCTCTCACATACACAAATATTTGTCATAACCTCATTTTAATTTAATTATGTCTTTAAAGACTTTGTCTCCAAATACAGCAACATTCTAGGCACCGGGGGCGAGTTGTTCACCATATAGATTTTAGAAGGGGCACATTTCAGCCCACAACAGCTAACTAGTTCATCAGCCTGTCCTTTCACCTACTAATAAATACCTTCTCACTTAAATTCCTTGGCAATGTGAAGGAAGCTGTGTTTTTCTCTTAGATAGACTATGACACAACTGTCATCTTTAGTGGCCTTCAGATCTGGCTTTTATTTGCGCAAAGGAGATGTGGAGAGGAGATACGGAGAAGTGTTTCCCTGGGGCTTGAGCAGTGTTAGTCATGTGAGTGGATGCTTGGGATCGCAGGTTGACTACTGCCAATGCTGAGCAAGCACCACATCCTGTGTGACAGTCACTGTGTCCTTCCACAAGCTTCTGTGTTTGTGAGAGGCACCTGCTCTAAAACAAGCACCCAGGGGAAGGGTCCCTCCTGTCTAAATCTCCAGGAAGTACTGCGAAAAGTGATGAGGGTTTTCATTTTAGCTGTGCAAGCTGGCATAGAGGGATGGAGGGTAGGAAAAATTTCATAAATAATGGCAGGAGGCAAAACTTATCAGATTTGTAGAAGGGAGGGAGAAAGAGGAAGGAGGCAAGAGTAATTCCCTGGGGTCCGTCCTGGGTGATTAGGTGAATAGTAATATTGCTAACTAAGAGAGATTCTATTTTGGGGGAAAAGAGAAGTTGGTTTTGGGGCACACAAATTCCAAAGGTAAATGCTATTGATCACAACTCCTTAAGCTCATGTTTCTGTCATGTATACTCTGAGTCTTCTCCGGTTTCCTTAGGAGGACTCCCCGTGTCACAGGAAACTTAAAGGAAATAAATCTGTGCCCTTTTCCTCTTGTGTCAGTTGAGTTCTCAGGCCCTTTTGGGCCACAAACCCTAAGAAGATGGAGGTAAGGTTCTGCCTCCTGACATCTTCCTTTCTGGCATGTTTGCATTCTACATGCTGTGTGTGTGTTCCTTCTTCAGCATACTCATGTGCTTTCAGCTCTCACCTCAAGAAACTCTGTGAATGTGGATGGTGTCTTTCAAAAGTAAATAGACATGCCCTTTCCACAATAATATGTCACCTAGCAGAAGTTGGTTTATAAGTTATGGTTGTAGTTGGTATGCTAATTAATAATTTACATATGTCAATTGAAATGTGAATTACCCAAGCTTATTAACAACAGTATAGTCATGAAAAAAATGGAGAAAGAGCCTGGCCGATGTGGGTCAGTGGTTGAGCATCGACCTATGAACCAGGAGGTCACAGTTCGATTCCCAGTTGGGGCAAATGCCTGGGTTGCAGGCTCAGACCCCAGTAGGAGGTGTGTAGGAAGCAGGCAATCAATGATTCTCATCATTGATGTTTCTAGCTCTCTCTCCCTCTCCCTTCCTCTCTGAAATAAATAAAAATATATTTTAAAAAGTTAAAAAAATGGAGAAAGAAAAGGGAATAAGACATGGGTATACCATTTAAAAGAGTTGTAGAAAAATAAACATAAACAAATAAACAAACAACAGGAGCAATTCACATTTCAATTGATGTATGTAAATTATTAATTAGCAAGGCTTTCTGAAAGAATACGGCCTGTTCAATTAAGACTTTGGTCTGGGGTCTCTAGATGCCAATGACACCAAATTAAGTGCTTCATTGCTAGCATATTTCCTTATCATTTGGCATCAAATGCCACATACCAATGCTAAGAACAATTTAGCTAAGTTTTTAATTTCAGGAAAGTTCCCAACA